GATCTTCCTCCACAGTTTGAGTCAAACATGTTGATCTGATCAATCATTCAGTGCTTTTTTATTTTCTGCGGCACAAAACACTGAACTTCAGAATCACATTCTTTATAACACAATACTGTAAGAGTGCACGCAGCACTGTGTCACACTACTGTGTGCACAGTGGGGTGAGAAGTGTTTGGCCCTCGTGTATTTATGTTTGTCACACCCCAATGTTTCCGATCATTAAACGAATGTAAACTGTAGACAAAGACAGCAGTTTGTAAATGAAGATGTTTATGATTTAACCTACATGAAGCACATCTGTCTGACTCGTCTTTAATCGAACACTCCCCTCACATCTAAAATTCTATTTTCATTTGAAAAGATTTGAATTTTAAAAAGTATTTAAAGTATTTCCTGTTGTCATTTAACAACGACTCGCTGTTTGAGAGCGGCTCCACCTGTCAGGTCTCTGATGTAGCTCATTGGAAGCAAACCGTGGCTGCACTTTTCATGAATCGCTTTGATGGTTTGTAAAAGGACGCCAGCGTTTCATGCTGCTGTCTCGGTCTCGCTCCCTTCAGGTTTTGAAAACAAGCACAGAGGCTCTGGTGGAAGTTAACATCAACAAGAACCTGGTGGGTTCAGCCATGGCAGGAAGCATCGGAGGTTTTAATGCACATTCAGCCAACCTGGTCACAGCCATCTACATAGCATGTGGACAGGTAAATGACCTGTGAGGAAATGCTGCGCATCACAGTTATTCCCATGTGCCCTGTGTTAATGTGTGTGTGTGTGCACACAGGACCCAGCTCAGTCAGTGGGCAGCAGTAACTGCATCACCCTCATGGAGCCGTCAGGCCCAGCAGGAGACGACCTGCACATCTGCTGTACTATGCCATCTATAGAGCTGGGCACTGTAGGAGGAGGCACCAACCTGCCTCCACAACAGGCCTGTCTGCAGGTACGAGCACATCAAGCATGTCAAGCAACCGAAGATCAAGAGTTAACACTGGGCAGTCCTTTTCATTTTGAAGTGGTTACACAACTGTTAGATGTTTAGGATCATGTAATATTGTTCAGTTAGCGGTGTCAGTAATGACAATGACGAGAAAGACTGATGGATGCGTGGTGCACGGTCTGAGTGCATGAAGAGCTGAGCAGGAGGGAAGCCTGCAGGGTGAGCACAAAGTAAGAGGCCGTAAAAACTGTCAGTCGTGTAACTCGCTGCTGTGACAGTAGATCAGTGAGTCACGTGAAAAGAGTTTAGCAGGCTGCTAGCTAAAGTGACGGGAGAGAAACAAAGCAAACCCGTTTACAGTCGAGCAGCAGGAAAAGTGAAAACAATGACGTTCCACTGAAGCAGGCGTAGCTTCCTCAACAATCCTTTCAAAGCTCTTTTCAAAAAGACTTCGATTCAATAAAGACCGTTTTTATTTCTGCTTCCCTCCCAGTTCATGTCTGTCTGGACGATTACAAATCAGTGACACGTGACCCCGAGCACCTTTTATTAAACACACACAGTGAACACACATTTACTTTATGCAGATGTTAAATGTCCAGCAGTGTCCGTAAAAACAAAACATTTTGGATTTCAGCTTGGACCGGGTCTCCATGACGACTGTTTTTAGTTTGCACAGTCTGTTGTTGTACCTGTGCGTCTGCAGTGAGTCACAACTAAAAACTCGATTTGATTTTAGGACCAAGTGCAAGTGTGAGCAGAGGTTTATGGCGTGCTGGTGCACAGTGACTCAAACACGTCACAGTCGTGTGGTTTTTAGATCCTTACATGATAAATGGATTAGCAGCACTGTTTCATTCAAAGCTGCATCCGTGGAAGGATTTGGTTGCCATATAACTTGTGTGTTCATGTGTGTGTAGATGCTGGGTGTGCAAGGAGCCAGTCAGGACTGTCCAGGTGAGAACGCCCGACAGCTGGCCAGGATCGTGTGTGCCACCGTACTCGCTGGAGAGCTCTCACTGATGGCTGCTCTGGCTGCTGGGCATCTGGTCAAGAGTCACATGACCCACAACAGGTAAGAGCCTGTAATCCAGTGTTGGAGTTACGTTATTATAAACTGCAATGGAATTTAAAAACAAAATCTGTGTGTGTGTGTGTGTGTGTGTGTGTGTGTGTGTGTGTGTGT